TTAAATGTAATTCAATAATTTAAAAGGGAGGGAAAATGTTCACAGTGCATTTTTTTCCCTATGTAATGAAGGCTGCTTCATGTAAACAATGGTAAAAGAGACATAAGAAACCTCTGGAGAGATAAGAAGAGCAGATTTCTCTTGTAGATGTTTATCTTCCATATTATGTACAAAGGTGAAATCAGCTGACCTTTATGCCACTAATTATATTTTGCTTACTGTATGTGATATAAAATGGCAATGTACACCAGATGAGTAAATGCCAAGTACTGCCACATTACATTTCTTGCCACGCTATCTTCCTTTTCATGACTTCTATTGCACAGTGCAAAATGAAAAGATACAGATGATGCCTGAATTATTGGTGGGGTGCAGGGAGAAGAAAGCAGAAGGACCTTTTCACTGAATGAGAGAAGGGCAAATCGGGAAGGGACCTGAAGGTCACTATATTCAGTCTTCTCCCCCGAAGCAGGGCACTCCACATCTTCAGGAAGCCAACAGCTTTAATCCATGCTGTCCATTGTGCACCAGGCAACAGCATGGACCTGCCAATTGTGCTGCAGGGCCCCTGTCAAAGGGCAACCAGATGGCTGTAATTTCCTGTCTCTGAAATCTAGACAGCCAGGAGTTTTAACCCAGACTAGATCCTCACCAGCCTTCTCACTGGGCTATGTTCCATTTGAGCTGCATAGTTGATGGCCTGGGGTGAGCATCACGTTTCCTATTCAGTATTCTTTAACCATAAGTATAGCTGTTCTGATTGGTTCATCGCTGCTGTTCAACTGTTTATTTACTTGTTTGCCACATTTCTATCCCACCTTCAGGTGGCTCTCTTCTTCCACACACCTGTCCTCACAACATCTCTTAGCCTCACCCAGTGACTATTATATCCAAACCCCGATTTGTTCCCAGGTGTCCTGAATCCTTCGTCCAACACTCTAATTACATACTACACTGGTTCCTTTGCTACATATGAATGGCAAAGCAATGATGTATGGGGTGATTAATGGCCATAGCCATGTGGAGTGCGATTTGACTTGTAGTCTCTCAGTTAGCCAGCATTCACCAGGGACGTTGGCAAGTCATTAGATCCAAGTCCCAAGTCCAAATCTCAGTCTTGGGTACCAAGTCCTGAGTCTCAAGCCCCAAGTCTGAGTCCCTGTTAAAAACAAAACTTTTCCCCCCAGGAATGGGTGGGTAGGTTGGGTGGGTAGGGTTCTAAGTTGTGGGTAGGGTGGGTAGGTTCTAAGTTGTGAGTCAAGTCCAAGTAATTGGAGGGGGGGGAACAGAGCAAGTCATCAGCGTGAATTAAGTATGACCCGACAGTAAGTCCTGAGAACTGAGTCCCCATCTCTGGTATTCACCTTATTTAACTGCTTATTATCAAGGCCAGCCAAAAACATTTTGCTGCCTGAAGCAGATTATGATATGGCTTAGTTCCCATTACACATACAGAAATTGACTGGTAGTTGAAGTATACCTCAGCTTGTCAACTCAATAGGTTCCCCTGCAAAACTCACTCATCCTCAAACTAAGGTATTATTGGAATGTTGAGCCACAACATTAGTGCTGCAACCTAAAAATAGCTTGTTTGTTGTTGTTGCTCGTTCACCTTTTGGTCCTGATCCTAATGATGAAACATAGTAATTTTCCATATCTATTCACCCCATCAATTTGACTTGTTTGAATTAACTCTAACCAGATATGGCAAGACAGATGGTGAGAAGACATCATTCCTTAGGAAACATCTGAAAACAATGTAAAAACCCAGGTGGATATTCCATAATTGCATTAATTCTCACACCAATGAATAATTTTGACACATGTTGTGGGGTTACATGGGTCTCATGTCAGAGCAATTCTAAACAAAATTGCCAGACAAAAGATCTGCTAGTATTCTCTTCAGCAAAAGCATAAAAGAGATAGAAATTTCTATCTTGCATAGAAATAGACCAGTACTTGATGGAAGATTTGGGGATCACATATTTGGGTCTAACACCCCGCCCAGCAATTCAGTATGTATGGAAATAATGTTATGTGCCTTCAGGACAAAACTGATTTATAGTGACCCTAACAGACCTTTCAAATGAGGTAAGTTAAGTGAGTTTCCATGGCTGAGCAGAGATTCCAATCTGGGCCTCTATAACTCCACTGCACGCATGAATTAATTTATTATTATTGTAGATTTGTCTACATTAACCTCCACTGCCTTGTGGCTATATCCACTGATGGAAAAGGCTTCAGGAGTTTACCTAGAGGCAAAATCCGGAGCTAGAGTTCTGCCAATTCCTGCGACGTTGCTGGAACCAGTTGTATTGGCTCTTGCCTTTCCATTGGACCATTTCGGCAACGTGGAGAGGGGGGATCCACATTACTTTACCTAGGCTTCATGCTCTGGAGAGGACACTCCTCGATTCAGAGAATGTTACCATAGTCTCTCGAGAGTGAGATGCCCATGCACTCTTCAGAGCATGTTACCATAGTCTCTCGAGGGTGAGATGCCTATGCACTGTTTACATAATAAAGTTGTACTGAATATTTACAAATTTTCTCATCCTTGATGAAAAAGGATGTCCTGACACACTGGCAGAAACTCAGTTGGCAGAGCTGATCTGTGCAACAAGGATGACATCACTACCCAAAGCCATTCTGTGGTTGTTTCAGGGCAATAAAAAAAGCTCCTGAGAGCCTCCAGCGGCCATAGTTTTCTGGCTTTCAACTATTTGCCCTTCCCATTTTGCAACTCCCAGAATTAAAAAAACTCTAGGTATTCTTGAAACCATTGGTGAGTAGGGTCTAGGAAGTATTTTTATTGCCCTGAAACGACCATGTCATGACTGATGACATCATCCTCACTGCATGGTGTAAACTTTCACAAGATTTCTGCTGTTGGCAGAGCTGATCTGTGCAATAAGGATGACATCACTACCCAAAGCCATTCTGTGGTTGTTTCAGGGCAATAAAAAAAGCGCCTGAGAGCCTACAGCGGCCATAGTTTCCTGGCTTTCAACTATTTGCCGTTCCCATTTTGCAACACCCAGAATTAAAAAAAACTCTAGGTATTCTTGAAGCCATTGGTGGGTAGGGTTTGGAAGCATTTTTTTGCCCTGAAATGACCATGTCATGACTGATTACATTATCCTCACTGCATGGTGTAAACTTTCACAAGATTTCTGTGACTGAGAAACTTGGTTGAAAAAACCCTATCAGCTGTTGCAAAAATTCCACTACTGCCTGAGAGTAAGAAAACACATCCATTCTTGTCAGCAGCAGCACTAACAAAACACATTACACTTTCTGCAAAAAACAAACAAACAAAAAAACCCACCACCTTACAGAAAATACAATGTTTTGTGCAAAAATAATAATAATAATAATAATTAACGTGCATTTTTCTCCAAAAAAGTCCCAAAATGTGGGAAATGACCCCAAAACATTTTTACAATCTGGCACAGTTGGATTAAGAAATAGTCACTGATTCCAGTTTCCAGTTTACCAATGGGCTTCAGGGATGAGTGGGATTTGAAATAAGCTCTCCCTGCTTTTCATTCTGATACTGTGCAGTATGACTGAGACATATCTTCTGTGGCTAAATCTTTCCTTCTTGTGGACCAGGTCAAATGAAAGGATACTTGTTTCATTTCCGCCTAACTGCCAGTGCTGTCAATGGTGAGCTTTCTAACTGTGCACTTCTCTGCTGCTAATACTTTGTGGTTAGTATCAGGGTAGTATGACTGCCCGAGCCTTAGGACTGATCTGTATAACCTGTTATTAGAAGAGGGAAAATCCTTAACTGACAGAATGCCTTGTGACTGTCAAAGGAGGAACTTTTCTGATCTCACAGTTTGCAAACTAACCTGCTTTGTGTTATGATTGGTCTTTTGGAGCTAAATCGTGGATTTTTGTTTGCAAGTTTGATTTCTCAGACAAAATCTGTCATAATGACAGATCTACAACTCTGGCAGGATTTAAGTTCCCATCTTGGATTATCTGAAATGGTAAGGTTGGCCTTTAGGCAGCTGTTTTAGGGAGTATGAGGGAAACAGCTGAAAAAAAAAAGCAGAATTCTCTCCCCTCCCCAACATCAGAAAAAATCAATAACAGGAATCCCTTCTGGTCTAGTGTTTTCCCCATTTTCCTGTTCAACGCACATGCAGGACAAAACTGCCCTACAACATTTTGATGTCTGAGGTGGAGCCACAAATAACACCATATTTATGGTGCACAGTATCCAAAATCAGTTAAGGTATATTTGACACATGAGTGGCCCATATAAGCAAAAGCTCACATGAGTGCCCTTTCCAGGATCCCCAAACTCTGTTGCCTGATTTGGCTGCCTGATTTGTATATTTGACACATGAGTGGCCCATATAAGTAAAAGCTCAATAACAATTTTATGCCCCTTCCAGGATCCCCAAACTCTGTTGCCTGGTTTGGCTGCCTGATTTGGCCCTAACCCTAACCCCTACCCCTACCCCTAACCCTGATTTGACCACCAGAAGATGAATCTGCACCTAAGCTCACTAATATTAGTTGGCCTGGGTAAAAGAAGATGCTTCTTTAATGCATAGTTAAACTGAGAAATTCACTACTCCAAGAAGTGATGATCCTGAAGTAGATTGCCTTTCAAAAGGCTGTATCTGATGGCTATATACTACTTGTAGCATCAGAGAAGCAGTTTGCTTTTGTATATCAGGTGTTGGAAAGCACACACAGAAAGGTGCAATAATGTTCATATCTTGCTGGTAGTCATTCCTTAGCATCTAGTTCAGAATACTGAACGAGCAGATAAGGCTTTTGGCTGATCCAGTTCAGCCTTTATGTTTTGAAGAGGCAACAACAGTTCTGGGTGATTAGAATCAGAATACATACTTTCAGTTGTACAGTGCAGCTTCGAAACGAGGTTGATGAAAATCAGTTTCAAAAATAGCATAGGCTCAGTATGAAAATGGACCATATTTCATTAATCGTCTCATCCATATATGTTTTTTTCTTTACAGTATCTGCTAAGCCAAGGCCTCACAGTGATGAATACACAAAGAAGGTTCCTCCTCCTAAGCCAAAACGGAATCCAAACACTCAGCTGAGTGCATCTTTTGATGAGACATACATCAAAAAGCATGGCCCCTTGAAGTCAACGCTAAGTAGGGATTCCTCCTTATCACATGTCAGCAGTCCTGCTCCAGATACAGAGGAAGAAGAACCAGTTTATATTGAAATGGTTGGAAATATACTTAGAGACTTCAAAAAAGAAGAAGAGGACCAAAGTGAGGCAGTCTATGAGGAAATGAAATACCCCATCTTTGATGATGGTGGCCAAGATTCGAAGTTTCCATGTGAGTATGACCATCACAGCTGTTCCTCTCAGTGTGCTACTCCCACAGTGCCTGACCTTGATTTCACCAAGTCCTCAATACCATCCACTCCCAAGGGTGTGCTTTGTGATATCCCCCCACCATTTCCAAATTTGCTTTCTCATAGACCTCCACTCCTGGTATTCCCACCTGCACCAGTGCAATGCTCCCCCAATTCTGACGAATCTCCTCTAACACCACTAGAAGTCACCAAGCTTCCTGTGTTAGAAAATGTGTCTTATATCAAACAACAAGCTGGGGCCTCTCCATCTGCACTGCCACCTCATACTCCAAGTCATCAAAAACTGGAGAAAGACCAGACAGCATCCCATGGTACTACTACTCCAGGGCACTCCTCTTCACCTCCTCATCCTTCTACCTTATACAGAACACAGTCTCCACATGGCTATCCTAAAAGCCACTCTGCCTCTCCTTCTCCTGTGAGTATGGGTCGGTCACTTACCCCCTTAAGTCTCAAAAGACCTCCTCCTTATGATTCTGTACATTCAGGAAGTCTCTCAAGAAGTTCTCCAACAGTGCCTCATTCTACAGCCAGAAACATATTGCAAGAAGGAGGGAAAATGGTAAATGCCTCTGTCAATACCTACGGGTCATCATCGCAGAGTAGTTCACGTTCTAGAACGCCTACCAGTCCTCTAGAGGAATTAACCAGCCTTTTTACCTCAGGACGAAGTTTACTGAGGAAGTCCTCCAGTGGAAGAAGATCTAAAGAGCCTGCAGAGAGTAAGTGTTTCAAATAATACTTTTTTTTATTTTGCTTTTCTATTAACACTGAAACTGAAGTCATAACTTATAAGATTAAATTCATGCAAATGGCCAGATCACATGAATTAGGCATGTAGTACTCCCAAAACTAAAAGGCAGCATGCAATGACTTTACTTTGATATTCCCAGCCATATTAAAATCTTGTGGAGATACAGCATCAGAGACAAATAGAACATATGTAGCAAATTGGTTCTTCTAGGACAGAGATGCTTGGTACCTCACTCAATCATAATAGTTATGAATGAATTCCTCTCTTTTTGCTATCCGATCGATATGTATTTATTTGAAGGAGTTTTGAACTTTCCAAATGAGTGTTTAGGGAAGAAACCCATGTATTTTCCACACATTTCTTCTTCCTCGTAACATTATTGCCTCCATATCAGTAGTAGTATTATCTGCTGAGGCTCAATGGCAGTCTAGTTTTACCTGCCAAATGCCCACCCTATTGAACCATCCATGCTCAACTTCTCCCTGAGAATCCATCTGGCCACCCACATACAAACAAATGAAACCCAACCTCCAAAAAAACAAAAAACAAAAAAACAAAAACGATATATGGCCACACCTCAAAACAAAACAAAACAAAACAAAACGATATATGGCCATGATCAGGAGAGGACTTTTGATCTGGAAGATGTGTGGACAACATCATGGTAGTTATTGCAAAGAATAATCAAGACAGTGGTTCCAGTTACAGGTGACATTCACCAAGTAACAAAGTTACCTAAGTGAACCAGCTGCATAGTTTACTGTTATTAGGAAGAGTTTCAACTAGTTGACAGTAAGGAATGCTTATGCAGTTACTTCTAAAATGGCAGAAATTTTAGAGTATATAGCTCTTGCATTAACATTCTGGATATACACTGCATTGGATAAACATTGCATCGAAGTTCCAGATATACACTGCATTAGATATACATTGCATTGAAATTCTAGATATACAGCTGTCTCTTGGCTCTTACAGCTAGGTTCCTACACCCCAACCGCTAAGCAAAGTTTCTTGTATTAACCATAATACATCTGTTTCTCTTTTGTTGTGTGGTCATGCTAGTCATCTATTGACATTTAAATACAGAAAAACGAGACGTAAAGTACAAAATGCTATACAGTTAAATCAAAAAGCTTAATGCATAGTGGATAAGATACTTTTCTGACTATTGCTGTCCACAGGAACAAACAAGGAATGGGGTGGGTAAGATTAGTCTGCTCCTACTCCTTACATGTCCGAGACACTAGAATAGGGTACTTATAAATGGAAATACATGTTTAAGGAGCAGGGCCCAGATCCAGTACCTTGTTATGGCTCTTAGTTGTTTTGAGCCCTGTGTAGAGATTTGCCTGAATTTTTCAGCCCATGCACATGAACAATGCCTATGAGAGTCCCTGCCACCTAGAAGTTTATAAGATCTCCATGTTCTAAAAAGGACATCATTGAACAACATTCAACGGATTAGGCAAGGTTCCGAATCCTAGCAACTCTGTTAGCACATACTGCCAAATGTCCTTTTAGAGTCTTTGTGTTTCATATAGAGATGTCCTTTACATTGCTTTTCATGGTTCAAGGTGGAGAGGAGATTACAAACATCTCCAAATCCAGGATTCAGGATGATTCTCTAAATTTCTGGTGGTTGTTTTGGGTTTTTCGGGCTTTTTGGCCATGTTCTGAAGGTTATTCTTCCTAATGTTTCGCCAGTCTCTGTGGCCAGCATCTTCGGATGACAGAATTCTGTACTCTGGTGCAGTTTGTTTGGGAGTTGAGTATTTATGGCTGTGAGATCAGCTTTTGTCCTTTTTAGGAGATGGGTGGTTATGGTGATCAGTGTGTTTTTGTTGCGGGTGTATTGTTGTGATAAGGAGGAGAGATTATCTGTCACTGTGATTGATGGGTGTCATTAGCTGGTCTGTGTGTAGCAATCACTGGTCCTTGTGGCTGGGTAGAGTTCGTTGACCTTTTGCATGCTGTATTTTTCAGTGCTGGAAGCCAAGTTTTGTTGAGTTTCAAACTGTCTTCTTTTTTTGTTGAAGTTCTGCTGGTGTTTGTGGATTTCAATGGCTTCCCTGTGCAGTCTAATGTAATGATTGCTGGTGTTGTCCAGTATTTCAGTATTTTGAAACAGAATATCTCTAAATTTCTGTTCCTTGAATAGAAAACTCTCATATTCTATCATTCTTCTCATTCAGAGATCATTCACATACAAAGTCTACCCAGACAACATTTTCAATTATGAAAACAAACAATTTAAGTTTTAAAATACAATCAACTTGCATCTTTTCCACGTTTCTGTTGGATTATTAACATTCCCATTTGAACTTTAGAATATTCCTTTCTTGTGTTTTGAAATTACTTTTAATTAACAAGCATTTTTGCTGCCTTCTTTCTTATCTGAGCCATTGTTCTGTGTCTCTTGATCTTTTCAAGAGAGATAAAGATAGAAGTAGAATGTGACACATTTTATAGCGTTTGCTATTGACTTCAAAAATACTGAGTCCAAAAATAAAGATTTCCAAGATAACAGAGGTGAATAAGTCAGCAGGTCACTAGTTGAACTGTTACTGCATGACTCAGAGCAAATTAATCCACTGGATAATGATTTTCATATAGTTTCTTAAGAGCTGAAAGTAACACTTTTTAAGTAACAACATTACCTGTTAGGCATTATTTTGGAGTATCATGGGCATAATTACTTCTGCTATTTAAAATGATATACTGCAACATACTATACTACTACTACTACTACTACTACTACTACTACTACTACTACTACTACTACTACTACTACTACTACCACCACCACCAGCACCACCACCACCACCACCACCACCACGAGCAAATGACAATAATAGTAACAATATATTAGCTATAGTAGCCAGAATCCAACTGGTTAACATAGTGGAGTAAATCACAGAAACAAATGGCTAGTTAAAAGGTTGGAGTTTGTATTCTTTGCCAAGTGCCCATTTTGTGAGTTAATGCCCAAGGAGCAATGCAAGCAATAGCCTTTTTACTAGCAGGGAAGATGATATGTGATTTATTGCAAAGAACTGTGGCAAGAGGTAGGCAGATTTGTGGGTTTTGGGCTACAAGAATTCTGGGAAATTCTGCGTCCAAATATCAGAACATTGTACAATAGTGAACTGGACAAATTAATATATTAAAACAGGTATATAGTCAGTGTTATACACGTAGTCATTAGTCACATATATAGCAACAGCACACACAGTATTGATTAATTGTTTAATATATAAGTCTCTGGTTAACTACTTTACTGCTGACCCTTGATGAAATCCTGTTACCAGAAGTTACTGTGTGCAAGGCTAGTGAGAAATTTCTGATCCTCTCCCTCACAAAGGTCCCATGTCTCCCTTGGGAACCCTTTCATTGTGGAAAAGCCACAATGAAAGATGGGGGAAAGTCTTTCATTTCTAAATGAGACTGTAACTCGTATAGTTGTGATGTAAGTTCCAGAACAGGATTTCAGCCATTGTTTGATATACGTACTTGATTGCATACAACTTTGTCCTTTTCTTAGTGAATTAGTAGAGTTAGTTTAGGCCCCCTTTACAATCCTTTTTTCTTATTATATGAATTTGTATTTGTACCTCGCTTTGCTTGGTCTGAATTGTCCTTAGTCTGATACATTAAGGACTTCAAGTGAAATCGAGCAGCTACCAGAGATGGACAGAGTGAGACCCTAACACACAACATCTACAAGAGTACATCCTCCCAAACCCATTTGGAAATGGTTTGTATACTCCAGGCCATTGCAAGTGGCTGCTCCCACAGCAGGGAGAGGAGCAGCCCTATAAGTGTCTCCCAGACTCTTCCACACACATCAAACTATATTAACAACAATACTGTGCTGTAACTAGAGAACTCTGATATCTTGTGAAGGGTGTTGCTGCATACTTTGTACACACAGATGCTATTTGAAAGACAAAATAATGAGAACATTATAAATACCAAATAATTTCCAGGTCCACAGTCTTTGAGTCCCTCAGAAACTAGCTCTTTTAAACTACGTACATCTCCTACCCCAGAATGGCCAGCAGCCATGTTGCATTGAGGATTCTGAGAGCTACTGTTCAAAAATATAAATTTTCCAAACTCTGGTGTCTCTTTAGGTTACATGCCCTTTTCAGTTGTCTAGGTTCCGTGCTCTTGGGGCTGTGGCTTATAGAGAAAGACAGATAGACAGGCAGGCAGACAGTCCTCTTTTGTCTCCTCTTTATTAACATTTATGTTTCTACTTTCTTCAAGAAAAGATTTATCCCACAAGATATGATCTGAGTGCCTTTAGCTCATGTTCAAATATATAGGGGAGGGGCTCCAAATCAATAAAATGCAGCTCTGTGCATCACCTGAAGCCAAATATATGCAAAGGGGTGATTTCTATGATCCCTATGGCACAGATTCAGATGATGGGGCGGCCACCTGTCAGTTCTACAATTCATATATTGTGACTTAACCCTTTGTCTTGTCCCTTAAACTGAGTTACACTATGTATCTCTCCCAAAATTGACAGGCTATGGCATTCTGAAGTCTCAGGTAGGCATCTGCCCTGTACGTGACATTTTTAACTTGATCTCTCAAGAGCTCAGTGTGGGATTCACAAATACCTGCTGAAAATGTGTTCCTCTACAAATCTTCTTTTCCCCTAATTTCTTCCTTCTGATTCTGAACTATCTCAGAATCATTTCAAGGAATGTATTTAACAAATCTGTGATGATTTGTATCTTTAAAAGAATTCTTACAAGCAGAGAAGATGCAGGTTGTAAAACTATTCCATGCTTGGTTGCTAACTCTGCCTTGAGGTTCATGGGCAGGTTAAGGAGAAATAGCTTAATTTCAGAGGAAAGAGCCAAGAATTAGCCAGCACAAAGCCGTTTCAGCTGACTTCAATTCATATTTGCTTTCTTCTCATTTATAATATGTTGTCTCTCTTGGCCTTTGGAGTGT